AAATACCCTAAGGGTATTCAAGTCATCTCAATATCCGAAGGGACTGAAAATGCAAAGAAACTAGCTCAAAAGGACCACAAAGTCAAAAAAGTCGAGATTTGATCCAAACTTAGAAAACATGCATACCACAGGGACCATTTTTCAGTTATATATATATATATATATATATATATATATATATATATATGTGTGTGTGTGTGTGTGTGTGTGTGTGTATGTGTGTGTGTTTGTGTTGGAAATGACATAAAATGGTTTAAAGAATATGAGAAATGGTTTGAGAGCTATGAAAATGGTTTGGAAATGTTTTGGGAATTTGACTTAGGAATTAGGTTAGTGTTATGATCCAATTCCATTCCAAATTCAAATTTTCGGTTTACTCACTAGGCATTCTAAATGGCTAACATACTTTTTACATGTACTCAGACTGACGAAGGAGCTTACAAATCTATCTTGGGACATTTAGAAGGCCACATATATGTAGAGGTTTATTTTAAACTTTTGTTATGACATTTACTTAAACGTCTTCGTATTTATAACTTTGTAACTTGAAAGTATGTCGTAAGTTTTTGGGACCAAATTCCACAATGATGACTTTAAAATGATTTAATATTTTAAAGAAATCATTATTTAGTATAGCCTGGATGATGGGTGTTTCATCATTAAATATGACCTTTGTGATGAACTTAATGATTAATGCAAATTTAGTTTTGAATTCTATGTCTATAAGACTAATATAATGATGCAATTTGAACTCTACGATCAAATGAAGCACTGAACCTTTATTGATGTTTTTCAAAACCCTAGATTCATGAATTCAACCATAGATCCAACTAAATTCGATTTTAGTAATTAATGCAATTTAATTTATGATTTCGATGTAAGGTTGATTTTCCTAAGTCCAAATCAAGTGTTGAAATCTCTATTTGTGGTCAAATTCGATGAAGTTTAATAAGCTCTAAGAATAGTATATCATCCTTGATTTTTCAAATTCCAAGTTTGACTATGTATTTAGTGTTCTATAATGATTGGAATTAGATTATTGTGTTCTAAGTTCAAATCATCAGAGATATTTCATTTTAGTGATCATATCTTAAGTTTTGAAAGTTCTAATTGGAATATAAGGAAGATCATCCATCATTTGATTGATTAGTAGTATTAATGATGTTAATTATATTTTAAATATATGTTGTTACAAAGTTTTTAATGCCATTCATTCATAATAACTATTAGAATTGGTTTCTTAAATGATTATGGATATTAGGAAATTTAAATTTGGCAGATTAAACTTTAGGATTTCATGAGAATTTTCACACAACATGTTTTTCTAACGATACACACCATTTTGGTATGATGTACATATTTTCAAGAACTTATATGTTCAATTGGTACTATTATACACAATAAGTGTACGATTGTGTACCTACAACATATAACCGTAAAATTGAATGTACAATTGTATAGAACCTATTAATAATAAAATCTTAGGGATGTCTATTTTAAAGGTAATATATGTATTATATTTGATTATTATGGCTTATGAGTTAACAAGTGACATTCTAGGATATTAAAAGATCACATAAGGAAGATCTTTGAGGTGATTATTACGAAAAAAATACATTTCCCTATCTTATTTTTGGATATTTGAATGAGTTTTAATTATTTTATGATATTTTTATCCATTTATGATATGTGAGTATTATATGTATAAATATATGCATTCATGAAAATGTTTTGAAATGAGTTTTTTTATAACCGGAAACAACAATAATGATTTCCACTTAAATTTCTTCATAAATTTATGCATCCACTTAGGATATGATGATGACTTATGTGTCCAAATTTACGACTCAGGTACTCAATTATGGTGGTCTGGTGATGCGATGGTATTCTGGAAATTCTTTAATTATACATTTAGGCTAACTACCATTCGTGTGGTACTTGTGTGATACATCACTTGCACCTAGTTTGATGCGAGGTGAACCCACTTAACTATCATTATGAGGATACTTAATTACTATTATGATGGGATAAACTCATTTAACTATTATTGTAAGGAGATGTACCCACTTATCTATCTTTGAGAGGTGTTAGACTATAATATCCACATAGGATGGGTTTTAGAAGCATTTGCATTGCATTGCCTTTTGGTATTAAATTTGTTTTGATGATCCAATAATAACTGAGCAATGTTACTCTTATATGCATCTTTTCCAACTAAATAGTTAAGTATTTCCTTTGATATTTCCAAACTTTGGAGGTTTTATATTGGGATTGGATGATCACTCTCATCCAAAGCCTTAAAGAGAAAACCTCAATATTATTATCTAGACTTTCCAAGCCTAAAACTTTATATTTTGACATGTATTCAAATTAGAAGAGTTGGTGAAAACTAAAGACAAAGTTCACTTGGATATTTAGAAGATTTTTTTAGTTTAGTTTGAAATGTTTGTACGTTTTTTACTTTACATTGCCTCTAATTATGTTGTTACACCCTCGTATTTCTTGACTAATTTTAAAAGTTAAAAGACTTGGCCGTCTGGGACCAAATTTCGCAAGATGTTTTCCTAAAAATACTATTGTTTTGCAAAATAATTAAGATTGGTATTTTAAAAGACTATTTCAAATAGACTATACGAAAAGTTTCACATGGGTTGTCAGGGGTTGTTGCATGGTCAATATTACCATGGGTGTGCCTCTAGGCTCTAAGATATCAATTTCTTTAATCGTTATGGGGCCTTCATTGAGTACTAGAGGTGGAAAAGAAAATAGGATGATGGAAGGGTTAGTTTTGGTGTGATCACCGATGTTTCAACGGAGACCATAGGTTATATGAGATTAAAGCTAGTTCCTTCTTTGGTTTCATCATATTTACCCATTCTTAGGACTACTGAGGTGATAACTTCTTATAGAGATTACATAGATGATGCCACTAATGTAATCCTGGTTTAGCTAGGTATCTATTGGTGGTGACATGATGAGATGAAACATACAATTTAGATATGATATCAGAAAAGAACAGGTTAGCTGTACTTCAGGAGGAGGTCCCAAGAATATGCTATGATGGTCAAGTTTAGTTAAGTTAGTAGCGATCAGAGTTTGTTTACTCTATGATATATATATATATATATATATATATATATATATATATATATATATATATATATATATATATATAGACACACAGATAGAGCTAGAGAGTAGTGATAGTCAAATATCTTTTACCGATGATGGTATGTTGGTCTTTGTATTGTGAGAGTACACATTTGTCTTTTATTGTGATTTATGATGTTAAATCTGTACTAGGGAAATGGTAGAACATTATTGTTTTGGTTGGTTGCTTGTCTCTTCCGGTGAATTTGTCGTATCGTGCAGAGATCGTGGTCCGCTAGGGTTTCTAATATAGTTATGGGTGCTTAGAGTGTATCCTTGTTTCGTCTTATAGGGTTTGTTTGTGTAACTCAGGGGGTGGGCATTTGGGTCAGATTGGACCGGTTTGACAGAAATTTGTGGACCAGTCCAGATCCAGGTCTGAGTTTTCCGGTTCTTGTACCCATTGCATTGATACAACTTTAGGTGCATATAGTACAACTTGTTGAAGCCATACTGAATTTAGTTTATCTATTACTTTAAACAAATATCCGTTGGATCGAGACTTACCCGATTTTGTACTCAGACCTATTTTGCATGATTAAAAGAACCAAGAACTAGACCTACTCTAGAAAACTGATCCAGGTCCACATCCGATTCCGAACCGGTCAGGTCTAGAGGTCAAAATGCTCACCTTACTGTAACATGTGTAGGTATGAAACGAGCAAAATAAGTGATGCTCAGTTCTATCAATAGATTGAATTGAGGTGTTGTGTAGAACGTCTCATTTAGGGCTAAGTTGGTATAGTCAAGTTTAATCGTGTAATTACGTATTGCATTGTTTTTCTTATCTCGCTTGATTAGACGGGTTATGCCGGTTGGTCAACTACTACATTGGTGATACGGTTGCATAAACCAGATAACAATGTTGTAGATCCTTATCAAATAAAAAATATTGTCATATTTTGTTTATGTAAATAGGGTGTCATCTAATCAAATGTTTGTTAACTACTTAAATAATAAGTCGGTACATGGCTATAAATAGTCATCATACTATAAATACATGTCCTTTAAATATCACCGTCTAATAATAATTCTAGACGCCAAATAATGTACTTATTAACGCCATCAAATAATTACCTTGAAAGTCCAATGTCTTTTTTTATATATTAATTGATAAAACGATATAGGAATGTTATACTTTTCACATCAATATAAAAAAAAAGATTGATAATGATAATTCATTTTTCCCTATGAAATTCTTCAGTCAAAAGGAGAAGAGGTTCACGATTTCTTTTTCTTGTTTTGCACGGACAGTAGTAGATACACAAACATACCTGCAACATTTGTTTTATTCAGAGGCATAAACAGAAAGATTCGGTGTTGGATCTTGCCGGTGAATCGCCAATCTCATTTCTGAAGCATTCAAGAGCTCTTCATTGTAGATACGCTTCTCAATTCTCTGAACCAAAAAGCCCACATCTTTCACTGAGGTTCGCGTTTTCTTTACTCGGCGTTTGACTAATCTGCGTGTGTATATGCGTTTGTTTGTTTGTTTCCATGTTTTCTGAACTTAAAATTTAGGGAATTCAACAGGGTATTTGTCATTTCGAACGAAGGTAACATTGGTAAACTGCAAAAAGGTCAATTTTTCACTAGTTTATCCATTTCTTCTCAGTTTGTAACTCAATCTGTGTGTTCCAAGACCTGAACTCGCGCAATTGTACTGGGTTTATGTGCTTTTGAACCGATGAAACATTGGCGTGTTGATTGATGATTTCTGGCTAACCGGAGCTCCGATTTAGGTACGAACTTTTCCTGAATTAGCTACGAGTAGAATACCCTGAAATGTGAGTATGATAATGTGGAATTGAGCGTCTGATATTTTTATAAAACAGAATAAGAGAAATAAAATGTTCAAGTCAGCGAGATGGAAAAGCGAAAAGAACAAGATAAAATGTGTATTCAAGTTGCAGTTTCATGCAACACAGGTACTGCATTTCTCAAATAAGAACCATAATGTGTTTTTGATAATTTCATGCATGATGTCTGTATGACTGTATCACATATTGAAAAGACTTGCTACTGTTTGTTAAATTGACCAAGAAAGGAACTTTCAATGTTCAACTATAAAATCAAATTTTAGAAATTTCTTCATCATTTTCCATTTTAGTCACACATACATGGAAAGGAAGTCAAGATTAGATGAGAATCTGTAAGATTTAATGGTATCTTCTTGCATTTTGGGGTGATTAAGGCATTATAGTTTCAAGATAAAAAACGCGATTTTTTTTTTAATATTGTACTTGAGGCCATGACGTATGCCCTCAACGCGATAAAAAACCGTTAAAAAAAAGTTCGAGTCGGTTCATTAATAACAATGATCCAAGACCGGTCAAGGGTTCGAGTCTCAGTAGCTGCAGTGTGGGAATTTCAATTCCAGTGTGGATTGAGCTTTTTCTGACACTGAGTTCTCAAATCAGTCAGCTAGTGGGCCACTGTGTACCTGATATACATCTCTGACATCGTAGAGCAGGGCAGTGTGGGCCAACTCAGGGATTGAAAATTAACCCTTTTGCATAAATAAAATATTTATACATTTTCTTCTCGCTGCATACACAGTTGACACAATCAGAAGGAGATTCGTTGCTGATATCTGTGGTTCCTGCTGATGTTGGAAAAGCAACCTCAAGATTAGAGAAATCAAAAGTTCAAGATGGAAATTGTTATTGGGAAAAACCACTTTATGAAACGGTTAAATTCTCTCATGATACAAAAACCGGAAAGATTCATGAGAAAATCTATTACTTTATTGTGGCAAAGGTAGAAATTGATTTAAATTTATTCAAAGCATATTTCTATATGTTTCCAAATCAAGAAACGTAAATAAAAAGTAAAATTTTTTTCGTGGGGTTTTGACAATTTGTAGGATTCTTCAAGATTTGGTGGTGTTGGAGAGGTTTCGATTGATTTTGCAAGTTATGTTGAAGCCACGAAGCTTTTTTCTTTATCTCTTCCTTTAAAAAGTGCAAATTTTGCAGCTATTTTGCATGTTAGTTTCTTTTTATCTTGTGTGCAATTTTTGTTTAAGTGGATTCGTTTGTTCAAGGTTGAAAAGTTGTATATTTATTTTTTCCAAAAATAGGTATCAGTTCAAAGGGTGCAGGGATCTTTCGATAGGTAAAATGGATTTTGAAACGCTTAAGTTTCCTATTTATTTAACGTCTTTAAAGATTATATTTACACTTTTTACAATTTATAGGGAAATTGATAGAAGTGAGAGTGCAAACAACCATGATCGAAGCTTTATGAGACACTTTAGCAACGGTAGTTTTGAAGGAAGCATTAGAAGTAATCCTACTGAAGTAAGTTCTCATTTCAACTACCTAAATTCAAGAAATAGCAACATACTTTTGTTTATTTGTTTATTATAACATTCTATTTTTTTTTTTTTTTTGTTTCTTTCTATTACATCATTGTACTTTCATTTTTTTTCTTGTTAAAGCATTTTACTTTGAAATATTACCGAATTTGTAGCATTGTACTTCCAATTTATCTCTTATTAAGACATTATATTTTAAAATTTTACAGGATCAAATGGCATCCAATGAATCAGATATCAATTTTTCAAGATCCAGTAGCAATTCCACACTCAATACCCCACAAAAACAGGAACCTAAAAAGATAAAACAGACTCGTGAATCATCAATAAAAGAAGATAAATCATTGCAATGGGATTGGTTAAATGGTTCAAATCCCAAATTAAGTACAGATGATTCTTCAACAAGTACATTAGGAGAAACTTCAGAAGAAAGTTCTTCAGATGTCATCATTCAAAAGCTCAAGGCTGAAGTTGTAGCTTTGACAAGACAAAATGATGTTTCTGAGCTAGAATTACAGACACTTCGTAAACAGATCATGAAGGAAATCAAAAAGGGCAATGAACTTTCACGGGAAGTAGCTCAACTTAAAGAAGAAAGAAATGTCTATCAAAATCGCACAGAAGAAGTCAAAGTCAAAGTCAAAGATGATCCATGGGCCCTTCTTGATGAGCTACAGAAAGAATTAAACCATGAGAAAGAACTAACCTCCAATCTTCGATTACAACTTGAGAAAACACAAGAATCGAGCACTGACATGGTTCTTCCTTTAGAAAAGTCAAAGTCAAAGTCAAAATCTGAGACAGATGATGAAGACGATGATGAGGCGCAAAGGGTGTTGGAAGAGATTGTTAAAAACCATAGTGGTATTAAAGAAACGTATTTACTAGAACAAAAGATTATAGATCTTTATGGTGAAATTGAGTTGTATAAAAGAGATAAAGATGAACTTGAAATGCAAATGGAGCAAATAGCACTAGATTATGAAATCTTGAAGCAAGAAAACCATGACATATCTTATAAACTCGAAAGAAGTCAACTTGAAGAACAACTCAAGATTCAATACGAGTGTACGCCTTACTCAAGTGTAAACGAACTCGAATCAAAAATCGAAAGCTTGGAAAACGAACTCAAATCAAAATCAAAAGAGTTATCAAACTCAAATCTTGTGATTAAAGATCTTGAAACCCATGTCAAGAATCTTGAGGAAGAGTTGGTGAATCAAGAAAAAAGGTTTGAGGGCAATCTTGAAGAATTTACACGTGGGAAAATTGAAAATGAGAAAAGGGCGATTCGGGCAGAAGAAAATTTGAGAAAAATGAGGTTGCAAAACGTTAATTTGGCTTCAAGACTTCAAGAGGAACTTAGAAGGCTGTCACAAAAAATGGGTTCTGCATTTGAAGCAAATGAGAAAGCAGCCATGAAAGCTATGGAGGAAGCTGATAAATTACATGTAGAGAAACGAGTTCTTGAAGATATGTTTGTGAAAGTGAAAATAGATTTATGGAATTTTTGTGATTGTTTTGAAGAAAAAGTTATTGGTTTTTTGGATGACATGAGTCTAAAGTTGAAACAGTTGGAAAAGCTGAAGGACCAGATTGAAAATATGAATGGGATTTTGAGGGTAAATGGAAAGATGCAGAATCTTGAAGGTGAAAGATTGAATGGGAACTTGTTTCTACTTAAGAAGAAAGATCTTCAACTTGAAATTAAAGAGTTTGAAAAAAAATTGGATAGTCTTGTGCATAAAACTGAGAAATCACAGGTATTTAACTGAAGTCTTTAAACACAATAGACTTCCTTTTACCTTGAATTTTGTTCACAATTTGAAAAGTCAACCCCTCCATCTTGAACTTGTTAATATGTTTTGATAGGAATGGAAAAGTTTTAACCTTTTTGTCTTTTGTTGTTGCATGTAGTGACATTACCATTTAAACATCAAGAAAGTTTTTGACAAATTATTGAAGTAAATGGTGTCTTTAAAGAGTTTAAAGTACAGAAACAGGTTGCAGTTGGAAGAAGATCATCGCATGTAAATATTTTTAAGGTTTTAGGTGTATGTACATAATAGTTTTACTATGATAATATTATGTGAATGATCTCTTTGTATGATTTTTTTAGTTTTTCATCGAGTTTTTTATATATAAAGTTTTGTAAATATTCTGTTTTTTTTGGAATGATACTAGTTTTTATGTTTCATGTTATCTCTTGCAAAATCTTGGATTCTTATCTTGATCCAGATCTGGCTCCTGCATTAGGGTGTTGTACTCTTTGCATGATGGACGTTTTAGGATGCAATAATGAGTTGTACATTAAGATTTAAGCAGGCATGCTAAATGCATCAATGAATGAATTAAGAAATCGAAATGTCAGACAAGTAATCACAAGTTGATCTTGTGTTTGCTGTTTGTTTAAACCAAACATAACATAAAATTATTTTGTTTATTGAGATCTGAAAGATATGATTTTTTTTGGATTTGAAGGATTTTTAAAGATGATAACATCAGATTCATAACATCGTTCTTAATTAATTACATTAAAAGAATATGCGAATGAGATTATTGGGACCCACAAGGCCACAACCAAGAAAATACGTAAACTTTAACAGCTTATTTAAAAACATGAAGCTCTAGTTGTTGGGTTTCACTTCACATCAGGATCATCCAAACATATATGAGACTGGAGCAAAAGGAAAAAATAAGCCCCTTAAAGAGAAATTTACTAGAACATATAAGATTGATTGCCCATAAATAAATATTAATTCTTGAAAACATAAGCCACACATAAAGACCGTCAAATGTAAAGCAAATGACTTACCCAAATGGTCTATACATTACATACCTTAGTTTAGAAATAATAGCGTATATAAATTGAATTGGAGTGACTAAAACGTAATATAAGGTCGGAAGGTATTGCACATGTGACGTTTTCTAATGGAGTCAGAGCCATCTTATGAGTTAATTGAAACCGATTCGGAAAATACCAGAGTTCAACTCGGTTCAAATCGAGCTCGAGCTTGAACTAGTCGAGTATATTATTGAGCCTAGCTAAAGTATTGATACACTCCACTTGTAAAGCCAGTGAGCTTAATCCAGCTTATTTATTACACTTATACATTATATTTAATTCATACTTATATAATTGAGCTCAGTCGATTTGAACTCGTGACCTTAATTGTATTTCTATTGTAACCCCCGCTACGCGAGGGCCAAAAACTTTCAATATTGTTTCCGAATCGATAAATATGACAGATGTCGAAAGTGCAAGGATGAAAAGCCCAGACTTTACCCCGGACCGTTTTTTTCATGTTTTTATGAAAAGATGTACAAGTTTTGACTGCAAGGATCAGAAGTTTCAAAACGGTTAAAGAATTAAACAGGTAGGAATTAGCAAATTTTTAGAAAAGTGATCAAAGTTATCAAACCGTTAAAGTTTTGTGGCCAAACTTTAAATATTAAAAGGTTCCTAAAAAGTGTAAAAATATTGATTGCAATGACCAAAAATGTCAAAATAGGTAAAGAATAAGGAACAAAGTGCAGGGACCATTTCTACCAAAAAATGTCCAGTTTACTATTCCTAAACTTTATATATATATATATATATATATATATATATATATATATATATATATATATATATATATATATATATATATAATATATATATATATATGAGTAGGATTAAATGAGAATACCTAAAAGGGTGAGAACGCGAGAACAGATCTGGACCATTTAAATACTTAAATCTAAGGTCATTATTGAAAGGGGGATTTATGAAAAATTCTTAAACTGTTGGCATTAAAATGTAACTTTTAAATGGTCAGAAGGACATAATAGGAATTTCAACTTTACCTGTATCCTATAATTTCTCACCCACTCACATATTTCCTTTAATCTTCTCGTGTATATATGTCCACCTCTCCCTTTTTAGAGTTTCATAAAACTCAGGTCATCATCGATCTGGGCATCACTTACAACCCACTACGAAGATATGTTCCCCATCTTCATCTTACACCGCAACCATCATCGTTGCACACAGCTCCAATCAAGAGTTACGGCCGAAGATGATTGTGACAATTGGCAATGGCGAAGATGATTGTGACAATTGGCAATGGCGAAGATGACTGTGACAATTGGAGATGGTGAAGCAGCGACGTTTGAGGCATATTGCGGTTACTCGGGTGGCCCAACGAGCAGACCACAACCAGTAAACCACAGTGCTAGTGTTCGTGTCATTCTACAGGTATGCTACCATTGATTTGTAGGTTGATTCTTTCTCACCTGAAGTCGGGTAGATTTAGTGGATGGAAAGGGACGCATTGTTCATAGGTATGCTCTTTGAAATTTTATTATCCAAATACAAATATCTTAACACATGGCTACCCAGATTTGGTATTTAATCGAAAATCATGGATCGCTCTCAACAATTGTACATTTTTGTTTAGAAATTGGCAATGGTCTTTAATTTTTGAATGAATGGGAACCAATGGGGCCAAGAGGGTCTGTTCGTGAAGAAGGGATGAACTGTGCACATAAGGTGCTAGATAAAATGTCTATGAGAGCATTTTCGATTGGAATGATGGAAGGGGTCTCAATGGGGCAGTTGCTTCGATCGATAATGATTATCTTCTCTTTAATTTTTATTTTGGCTGTAAATCAATGAAGTTTAATCAACTACATTTCTTTACTCGTATTTTTTTCTATTCATACATGAATCTAGCTTTGGAATTAGGTTTTATAAACCACAAGATCTTATCGTGAAAACGTCTACTCAAAACCACAAGGTTTCTGCTATTTTGGTGTTCGGAGACTCCACTTCTGATCCTGGAAACAACAACTACATTCTGACCCCTTTCAGGGGCAATTTCACACCTTATGGGAGAGATTTTGCAAACCAAAAAGCGACAATGAGGTGTACCAATGGAAAGAAACACAATCCTAATTTTTGAATTTTTTGGTAATAATTTCTTGAAGGGGGTGCGTGAATGGTTGTATTTATTTATGAATAGCACGTGTATTCATTTATGAATAACATTGTAGTTATGTATGAATAGTTGTATTCATTTATTAATAGCGCATGTATTCATTTATGATAGAATGTATATTAATTTATAAATATCAGTGTATTCATTTGTGAATTGTAATGTATTCATGTGTGAATGATTGTATTTATTTATGAATATTAGTGTATTCATGTGAATGAGTGTATTTATTTATGATTAGAGGTATTCATTTTATGAAAAAATGATAATTTTTACATTTTTTTTATTTTCAATTTATGAAAAATGCATTGAATAATTTGTAATTTGATGTGTTTTCATTTATGAGTGGAAGTGTATTGATTTGCATTGGATTTCTATTCTTTTTTTTTTTTTTTGAAAAACAAAAACGTGAAATAGTAGAAAATAATATTTTTTTATAAGATTTTCTTTTCAGATTTAAAAAAAGAAAATATTAATTTTTTTAGGTGATTTTTTTGAAACGGTCATAAATAATTTTTGGGAAAAATCATAAAAAAAATATTTATATGTATTTTATTAACTAAAAAGAAATATTAATTTTGTTAGGTAATTAAAATCATTATCCCTAGATTTTAAGAAATCAATAATTAATATTTATATAAAGTTATTAATACACCCTTATAAAATGATTGGTCCAGAACTGTTCTCGCGTTCTTAACCTTTTAGGTGTTCTCATTTGATTCTCTCCATATATATATATATATATATATATATATATATATATATATATATATATATATATATATATATATATATATATATATATATATATATATATATATATATATATATATTAATTGAGCAAGCTCAAAAGTATCGATTACTTTATCAAGCTAGAATTGTGTTTGAAAATAAAGCGTGTTTGATCGAGAGCTCAATTTTTTTATTGGAGTGATGTTTTGTGGTCGACACTACTCGTGTTTTGTGGTTGGCATTACTCGACTCGATTACAACCCTGTCTGGATGGTTGCAGAACTTGTCATACCCATTTGGGACATATCTACTTTTTTTTTTTTGGAACAATAAACTAAGTTACTCCTAACTATCACCACCAATATCTCAAGTGAGATTTGAACCCATAAATTTTCAAATGAGAGAGTTATTCCTTATGGCTAGATCAAAAGCCCTTGATGGATGAGCCTACTTGACATGTCATATGAGAAAAATCTTGAATATGATAAGCATAAACAAACATATTATATAGATATCTTAGATAATCATATAAATAATAAAACAAATGATAGCTAAGAGATATTAAAGTAGAAGTTTTTTTTTAAGATATAATTAACCTAGAAAGTGCTTTTTAATAGAGATAACATTTTTTTTGGACAACAATACCAACCACTTAAAAGTTTATGATCGTATTTTTTAAGTTTTAAGTTTTATAAATTAACAATTTTTTATTAAATAATATTTCGTTTATCACTAATTATATATTTAATTCATTTACCCTTAATTATGTATTTAATTTCAATAATATTTCATTTATCCTAGTTATATATATTTAATTCAAAAAATAGAAATATATATATATGATAGACCGTTTGTTAAAAACTTTAGAGTTCATATTCCATTAGGTATAAATTTTCCAGAGTTATTAAATTTGATCAAACAAAAGACAAATTTAGAAGACAAACTTAATATAAGTTCATCTTTCCAAAACAATAGATTGAAATATTTTATAAAGACAGTTGATGAAAGCGATGTGAAACATTTAAAAAAGTTTATTCATTAACTTTCAACTCATGTACACCTCTATTTGGTGGATAATGACCCGGTCAAAGAGGAACATAAATACAATGTCGAAAATGGATCTATTATTGGATTGGAAGTGATCTAGCAGCGAAAAATGCTCCGATAACAGAATAGAGAAAAGTTTTGTTGACAACCGATCTAGCAAAAGAGGTAGCAACAATCAAGTAGGTATATATATCTCTCTAAATGATCCTCACATCTTGGTGGATATGTTACATATCGAACAACTATATAACAATAATTCAGTTCACAAATTCAGTAGTACCATATCAAATGCCGATAATTACATATCAATTACCAATAGTTCCATATCAAATGCTTGTAGTTACATATCAAACACTAGTCGAACCAAAAATTAAGTATGTCGATCCAGTAAAATATTAATACTTAGGTGATTATAATGTTGGCACCATTAAAAATGATGTTGATGTTGGTGCATGTAACAATGATGTTGATAATGTTACATGTAATAATGATGATAATGATAGTACATTCAACAATGTTGTTGATGTTGGTACATGTCACAATGAAGATAATATTGATGATAATATAGAAATCGAGGAGCCAACTGATGATTTGTTAGGTATATCAGACAAATAAGCAAATGATTCTGAACTTGAATGACACTAAGACTGAAAATAGGTTTTAGGGAGCATTTTTTGATGAAAATTTGTATTGGTTTATTTCGACTGTAAAACTAGACAATTGTACCATGTTTCAGATTTGCAAAACTTATGGACCAACACGCATGTTATTTAACACCGTTGAAACCAAACCATCATCAAAAAGTTTTTTTTTAGTAAATTTAGTTGCGAGGTGTTGGGTATTGATCATGACAAAGACTAGTGTGGAACCATTGTGTAACTCCCTGTTCTGAATCGTTTCCTAATGCAGGACAGTGACCTGAAGATCAGGTATCATAAGGCTTAGGGCCTTTGGAAAAGAGAGATTTAGACTCATTTGGGTATGTGTAATGTAATTTAGATGATTTAGGAGTTTGGTTTGTGTTTTGGAGCCAAGTGGTATATCGGTAAAGTGTTAGTTCGGGATTTTATGGAAATTAGATTTTTGTTCAGGAAGTTTTAAGGCAAGGTTGAGTTGATAAAAGCGTAGAGCTTCTCGTCACCTTTACGTGGATATAAGGATCTTCGGAAACAAACTTAGAATGAAGAAGTTACGGCCTTCGAAAGTTTAGTGGTTTTAGGATGAAACCGAGTATGCGGGGCGTGCACAAGTGTATGCAGGCCATGCTAGAGCTAAGTCTAGTAGGTGGGGTATACTTTGGTGTAGGCTGGGCATACTAAGAAGATGGATCACGGAGGCTTAAGGGAGTACGTTGGGCGTACCAGAAGTACGCAGGGCGTACTCCAGTCAGACCCAAACCCTAATTTAGGGTCTTAGACCCTATTTAAGCTCCTTAACTCACCACCAAACCCTATTATCTTCAACCTCCATCCCTTTAAACTCAAGAATCAAAACCCTAGCCTCCTTTGGTGTGTTTTGTTAGGACATGATTTATGGTTTATACTTTACTTTACATAGCTTTTAGAGTTCTCGGTCTAGGACCAAAAACACCATGAATTCGGTGGTGTTTGGACTAAAATCACCATGTGATTTCTGTGGGCTTAATGATGCTTTCGGTTGGGTTTTGGGTTGGGCCTTTGTAATTAGGTCTAGGTATATATAGTATTGTTTCATCCGTGAAAAAGGTTGGTCATTCTAATTAGCTGATTTCGAGTTTAGAGAGAGACAGAGAGGACCGAGAGACATAGAGGTCTTATGTACTAGACTATCTATCAATATAGTGTGCATTGAAGATTTGATTTTGTGTTCTTAATTCGTTATAAATGTTTTGCGTTAATCATTAGATTAGAATTCCGCACCAATTCTATTGATTTCGATTGATACATTAGATTAGGTTTTACAATTGGTATCAGAGCAATGATTGGTATCAATCGAATTGGCAAAATATTAAACGTTTCTTGGAGTTTTTCTTGGTGTTTTTAAGTTCTTTTTGACTAAAATTGTTGCCGCTGTCTTCGTGTTCTTCACTACATTGGAGACTTTGATCGAAACTGGTTTTGATAAATTAACAATTTTGTGTTTCCGGTATTTTGGGAGTTTTTCGGTCAGGTCTAGATGTTTTCGATGGCAGACTTCAAGTTCTCGGCTAAGTTAAGTGATTTCGGAGGCTACTGAAGTTCTCGGTCAGCAACTAGGTCAAACATCTAGATTTCGGTCAAACAAGATTTCAGATCGAGTTTTCGGTCAACAATCTTGATATTTTTTGACTTTTCGGTCAAACCTAGTTCAGTTAAATCATACACTTTTCGGATTACAATGGACTCATACAACACCTATCTTTCAAAAATGCAAAGTGATCTTGATTCACTCATGGGGACAACAAGTCGAATTCCCCGGTTGCTAACTGGTGATGGATTTCCTGAGTGGGAATTCAAATTTGAGAAGTATGTTAAGATGAAGGATAAAAAAGTGCGGAGAAGCTTCCTGAGAGGTCCAGTCAAGATCACAACCACCTTGGATGATAAAGTAAAAACTGTGGTTGACAAGCCAATCGAAGATTACACTAATAAGGATTTCGACAAGATTGAAGATGATAAGAAAGCACTGGATATTCTTACCATGGCTTTGTCCCTTGATATTGCTCAAGTTTTCTGGGAGTATAAATCTACTAAGGCTCTGTGGGAAAGCCCTGATTGAGGTGTATGAAGGGAATGAGGATATGAACCAAAGCAGACATGATTTGCTTCGTCAAAGATTCAACATGTTTAATCATGTTCTTGGGTAGACTCTAGAAGTCCAGTTGCAGTGTTTTATTACTCTCAACACATATATGAGAATTGTTGGAATTGTGTTGTCTTGCTCTGAGATAAATAAGAAGCTACTCAGTTCACTTCCCAGGAATTAGGATATGAATATGTATGTGATTAAGAAGACAAATGACCTAAGCAAGCTCTCTTGTAACATCCATAAAAATTCAAGCCAAATTTAAACTTTTTAAAACATTTTCAAAACCAAGATTGTTACAAAACATGTTTCCAAAATAGTATAATGTTAGAGTATCCCAGAATCAAATCATACAACATGAAATATGAGGATCTGTACAATCACGCCTTCGCCTTCCCGCAATCATCAGAAGTACCTGAAACAAT